ACAGACAGTTTATAAAGTGTCCAACCAGAGAGGGGAACATTTTGGATCACCGCTACACCACAGTAAGCAGCGCCTATCATACCGTCCTGCGAGCCCCACTGGGACACTCACCTGTGGTGAGGACGTCTAAGCAGTGCTAAGCTGTAAAGGCGTGTTTGGACTGTACTGACTGGGATGTTTTCAGGACTGCTACCAACAATGTCGATGAGTATACAGAGGCCGTGACGTCCTAATAGGGCTGGGCCTATAATGATGATTATCGCAATATAATTTTCCATAACAGTATAAAAATGTTCAGCATATCATCAAGAAATATTTGATTTAATTCATTAGAATCACAAATGAATTAGCACTTTTTATATTGAGATGTTTATTTTATTGAGGGAAAGGGACGCAAATAGATTTACTAATTAGATTTTTTTTTTATTTTTTTTTATTCTAGCACAGATATGTAAAGGGATCCACTTTTTGGCATCAAGTGTTTGTCAAATTCTTACCATAAAGAAAAGTTGAACCACACAACCATCTGGCCCTTCAACTTTCATTCAGGGGCAAAAATTTGCCTTTGCACTTGAAAGAAATAATGATTTGACATTTATCGTGATAATTTTCGATATTGATGGATATTAAATGTTTTTATCATTTTTGGCTATATCGCCCAGCCCTACGTCCTACATCAGCTTCTGTGAGGACAGCTGTATGCCAACATGAACCAGGGTGAGTTATAACAATGACAAGCCCTGGTTTACAGCCAAACTCAGACGGCTGAGGTTGGAAAAGGAGGAGGCGTTTAGGAGTGGCGACCAGGCCAGGTTTAAGGAATACAGATGATCACAAATGTCAATCGATTCTTTAGAGGTTAATTGATAACGTAATGTTGACGGAATGCAAGAGGCGGGAAGTGCAGCTCCGGAAAGGTCTGTGGTGTGCACACAAAGGAGATGCGTGGTTCTCTGTGTTTGTACAGACAGCCGCAATCTGGGCCCCATGCTGAATGTGGCTACCTCTCTTTACCTCTCCCGTCTCTTTTGAAGAGAGAAGCGCGCTCCCAGAACAAGTTAAAATTACAGATGAAGTCCATATTGTGAGTTCTGCCAGGTTCTCAGGATTGAAGTCTGAATGTCCAGGAGTTTATCTGCTATGTCTGGGACTGTAACAGATGGGAGACGGCAGCCAGACTGTTTTTGTTTGTTTTTTTTTAAACCTTTTATTAACAATACAATATTAAAAGGGGCTATATGTAAGTTTTTGATTTTAATAAATCCAGTTGTCATTGCCTTATTGTCAATGGGCTCAAAACTCACTTAGAAATGGAGCACACACCTGTTTTCTCCGTTGCGTGCATCAACCACTATTCAACCACTGCTTTTAATGTGAGGACACCGGGTCGGATTCAGCCCTGTGCGCGCTCCCGAGCCTCTCTCTCTCTACAGCGACAACACGGTCGCTAACGACATGCAGTCTACTAACACCATAAAACAACCGGCTCCCAGCAAAACACAGGCTCCATGTAAGAATCCAAAACAACAATAAGGTTAATGTGCTGAAGCCCATCAGACCCAACATGATTAAGTAATAAGAACAAAGTGAGCATTAGTAAAGCTGGAGAAACACAGAGAAAGTCACGTTAGCTCACCGGCTAACACCGAGCAGTTGCTAATGTTATCCGATCACTTTCCACATTACTTCACCAACTAACGCGACCATATTACTTTCCTGTGTACCACAGATATTATGTCGAAGTGTCAAAGCCTGCAAGAAATGATGTAACGGTAAAAAGTAAATGTGGAACGATTTGTTGACTATCCTATAGTGATGCAGCCTGGAGCAGCCAGCTAACGCTACATTAACTCGGACCTGCCGCTGTTTGCTTCGTAAAGTTCTATTTAGATTTATTGCCTTTTATCAATACTCAGGGTACACAGCTTCTCCACTTCTCAGTCGCTGTAACTAACATGACCCACATAATATAGGTGCTGGTCATATAACTAGAATATCATCAAAAAGTTGATTTATTTCAGTAATTCCATTCAAAAAGTGAAACTTGTATAATGTATACATTCATTCCACACAGACTGATATATTTCAAGTGTTCATTCCTTTTAATTTTGATGATTATAACTGACAACTAATGAAAACCCCCAAATCAGTATCTCAGAAAATTAGAATATTGTGAAAAGGTTCAATATTGAAGACACCTGGTGCCACACTCTAATCAGCTTATTAACTCAAAACACCTGCAAAGGCCTTTAAATGGTCTCTCAGTCTAGTTCTGTAGGCTACACAATCATGGGGAAGACTGCTGACTTGACAGCTGTCCAAAAGATGACCATTGACACCTTGCACAAGGAGGGCAAGACAGAAAGTCATTGCTAAAGAGGCTGGCTGTTCACAGAGCTCTGTGTCCAAGCACATTAATAGAGAGGCGAAGGGAAGGAAAAGATGTGGTAGAAAAAAGTGTACAAGAAATAGGGATAACCGCACCCTGGAGAGGATTGTGAAACAAAACCCATTCAAAAATGTGGGGGAGATTCACAAAGAGTGGACTGCAGCTGGAGTCAGTGCTTCAAGAACCACCACGCACAGACGTATGCAAGACATGGGTTTCAGCTATTGCATTCCTTGTGTCAAGCCACTCTTGAACAAGACACAGCGTCAGAAGCGTCTCGCCTGGGCTAAAGACAAAAAGGACTGGACTGCTGCTGAGTGGTCCAAAGTTATGTTCTCTGATGAAAGGAAATTTTGCATTTCCTTTGGAAATCAAGGTCCCAGAGTCTGGAGGAAGAGAGGAGAGGCACAGAAGCCACGTCAGTGATGGTTTGGGTGGCATGTCATCTGCTGGTGTTGGTCCACTGTGTTTTCTGAGGTCCAAGGTCAATGCAGCCGTCTACCAGGAAGTTTTAGAGCACTTCATGCTTCGTGCTGCTGACCAACTTTATGGAGATGTAGATTTCATTTTCCAACAGGACTTGGCACCTGCACACAGTGCCAAAGCTACCAGTACCTGGTTTAAGGACCATGATATCCCTGTTCTTAATTGGCCAGCAAACTGGCCTGACCTTAACCCTATAGAAAATCTATGGGGTATTGTGAAGAGGAAGATGCGATACGCCAGACCCAACAATGCAGAAGAGCTGAAGGCCACTATCAGAGCAACCTGGGCTCTCATAACACCTGAGCAGTGCCACAGACTGATCGACTCCATGCCACGCCGCATTGGTGCAGTAATTCAGGCAAAAGGAGCCCCATGTTCATACTTTTCAGTTGGCCAACATTTCTAAAAATCCTTTTTTTGTATTGGTCTTAAGTAATATTCTAATTTTCAGAGATACTGAATTTGGGATTTTCATTAGTTGTCAGTTTTAATCATCACAATTAAATGAAATAAACATTTGAAATATCAGTCTGTGTGTACTAAATGAATGATATCCAAGTTTCACTCTTTGAATGGAATTACTGAAATAAATCAACTTTTTGATGATATTCTAATTATATGACCAGCACCTGTACAACCGAGAGGAAGAGCCATCCACTGACACTACAGTAAATTTACTTACTGCGGTCTTATTATTATAAAGTGTGACACAATCTCGTTATAATATTCAGTCCAGCTCACTAACAGTTTTGTTATTGCTGAGGCTCCGGTGAAAGATACAGAGATGGTAAAAATAGTTAGTGAAAGCAGCAGGCGAGCTAATGATGTAGCACGTCGGCTAAATGCAGTAAATGTACCATGATCATGTAACATGGATTAGTTCAACCTGCAGCTGATTAAATTATTACTGTAACGTTGCAGTGTGAGTGAGTTTCCAGCATGTTGTGTGAAGCTGTCTCCCTGTCTCTCTATAGCCGCTGTCACTGAATAAAGTAACGTTACAGAGCCAGTGTTGATCTGCCTCTGTGACGGGAATGTTGAAGTAACAGAGCTTGAACATGTCTGTGTGAAAAGCCACAGCATGCATGCAGGTGTTTCTGTGTTTATTACAGGATTTCTGTATGAAAGTGGTTGTTTCGGATTATGCTCGCTCATGAATGAACGAGCACATGCCTGGTTGCAGTCTTAAAACCGCACCGCTAGTGGCCGCTGGAAACTCCATAATGCCCCTTTTAAATGGATACGCTACAATACAAATAACAATACAGCATTACCAAAACGACTTAAATTAAAGTCTAAATTTCTCATTTTATTCTTGTTTCCACAAGCTAAACATTAAAGGGCTACAGGACAACTCTGTAAATGTCCTTGAGTTGCCCAGCCAGAGCCCAGACTTGAACCCAAATAAACATGTCTCTGGAGAGATCTGAAAATGTCTGTGCACTGATGCTCCCCATCCAACCTGATGGAGCTTGAGAGGTCCTGCTAAGAAGAATAGAAGAAAGTGCCCAAAAATAGGTGTGCCATGCTTGTAGCATCATGCTCATGAAGTCTTTAGGCTAATTGGTACCAAAGGTGCTTCAACAAAGTATTGAGCAAACACGGTGAATACTTATGTACATGTACCTTTTTTTTTTTTCATAAATTTGCAAAGATTTCAAACAACTTTGATCTTGTCATTTTGGGGTATTGTTTATAAAATATTGAGGAAAATAATGAATTTCATCCATTTTGGAATAAGGCTGTAACATAACAAAATGTGGAAAAAGTGAAGTGCTGTGAATACCTTCCAGATGTACTGTATATAAATGTTAAAGTGACTGACTGTCAGTGTGGAAATTGTTTTTAATTTGAAGATAAGATGAACATGTTAATTGCACCCACAAAACAAAATGTAGGATAGAACAAACACACTGGAGACTTTACTCCTCTTAGGGCCTTACTAGTGAAGGAATGAAAAATGTAAAGTTTTTACAAGAAGAAAGCCACGGACTGTCAAACATTTTTCAGTTATGGACACATTCTGTAGAAGTAAACATACTCTATGGTAAGGACTTTGAAGCTGTGTCTATAGTGATAATGTGGATTTAGCTAGAATGAAATCTCTTCTGTGTCTTGTGTGCAGATGATGTGGAGTGTTATGATCCTGCTGGCGGCTTGCGTCACTGTGGGTGAGTATTTCATTCTCATTTCTCGTACACCATCCTCACGTGCTGTCGTTCAAAGTGTGATCTTTTCTGTTAAGCAGTTGTGTTCTAGACAGAAGCAACAAGTTCATTACTGTATATGAAAAGTGACAGATTACTTGACAGCAGGGCTGAAAATTATAATTACAATCATAATGCTCACTGTCCGCATCGACTTGACGTGTAGTTATATTTTTGAGGAGGTGCACGTCAGGCTACGCCGTAAGTGATGGCGTAGGGTAGGGGGCTAAGAAGAGGCTACGCTGTCGATTTGACGCAGAAGTATAAATTGCACTTTATACGCATACAGGCATACCTGTTTATTTATGGTTGCGACAGGAGAAGAAAGGGGAAGAAAGGGACAAGAAAGCACAGAACTACAGGAGAAGTAAAAAGTCGAGTCAGTAACATGTACTAATGAGATGATACAGATAGAGAGAGGGGAAGAGAGAAGCTTAGGTCATCATGGGAAATCCCCTGGCAGTCTAGGCCTATAGCAGCATAACTAAGGGATGGTTCAGGACTAACCTGAGCCAGCCCTAACTAAAAGCTTTATCAAAGAGGAAAGTCTTAAGCCTAATCTTAAATGTGGAGATGGTGTCTGCACAATATTTACTGCTGGTGATTTGTACATGCAAGTCTGCATACAGGATGCAGTTCACTATTTGCTTCTCAAATAAATTGCCCATCATGATGGGAATAATAAAGTATGTAGCTATAGATTTCATTAACGGCCATAATTCAATCTAAATGAATGTATCAAACTGGATTATTTTAATATTGTCCTTAACTTACATGCTGATGTAAGCTGCTGTCCAGCATCCAGTACAGACAGGAAGGTGTTTATTTTATTTATTTCATAATGATCATTAAGTTAGAAAATAATTTGTGTTTGAATTTCTCATCATTAATAGATATTTAATTTTCTTTCTTGTTGTTATGGTAAAAAGAGCAAGAGTAAGAAATCTCCAGACTCCCTGGAATGATGCTCACTGGCATGTCATTAACACTGTGTTGCTCACCTTCTACAGTTATGGGCAGACTGGGGTGCTGCTGACTCATCTGTTGTTAGTCTGCTAAAAGGAGCAGGGACAAGGATTTAATATGAATTTCTTGCTAAACATTTCCCTGCACTGATTAAATGTTGATGAAATGTAGGCTAACACTAGTCTGTAGCTAGCTAGCTACCTGCCCACCTTTCTTGGTGAAAAACTGGGTTACAGAGTGACATCCTTTCCTTTTGTCTTTCCTCTCTCTCTTTCTTCTCTTTACTTTTTTGAAAACCAGATTTTGGTTGGTTTACATCTACTGACTGCAACTAAACGCGTCACTGATGAGTGTGCTAATGCAGGACCAAACCATTTCATGCAGATACAGAGGGGTGGTCAATATGGAGGTTTACTTCTTTGTCAATGGGGATTTTTAACTTCTACTGCCAAAATCAAGTAAAAACAAAGAGATAATTCATTTTATTATTATACTTGAAATATATTTATACTCAATGATTTTGGTTTATATAATGTATAATATAATTTGATATTCAGAATTTTTTGGGTCCCCTGTCAGTCAGGGGCCCTTGGAATTGTCCTAACTTTACCCCCCTATATGGCACCCATGAACTATAATGTTTAACATACTTATCTGCAAGCTGCTTGTCTATAATTTAGTTATAGTTGTTGTGTCAGAAATGATTAAGCCAGAGGGGACATGTAAATAAACGTGAGCTGAACAAGTATCTAACACGGCTTCCTGCCAAACAAAGTTATTTTGCTCAGACAACAGGAAACAACCAGCTGAAAAACGGCAGTAAACAGCAGAGAGCGGGGCGGGGCGGCTGTGGCTCAGGAGGTAGAGCGGGTTGGCCGTTAATCGGAAGGTTGGCGGTTCAATGCCTGGCTCCCCCTGGTTGCGTGTCGAAGTGTCCTTGGGCAAGATACTGAACCCGGAATTGTGTACGAATGAGTGTGAATGTTAGTTTCCGTTTGAGCACTTAGGCTCAGTGTATGAATGTGTGTGACTGGTGAATGCAGATGTAGTGTAAAAGCGCTTTGAGTGGTCGAAAAGACTAGAAAGGCGCTATACAAGTACGGAGCATTTACATTTACAAATGTTCAAAACACAATATCACAATATCACAGACCAACAGAGTATAAACAGTTAAGGTAACCTGGCCCAGTACCCTGTGGCAGGTGCTGTCTGTGGAACTCATTATCTATGCCTACACAACCGTAGGAAAAACAATAAGGTTACTTCAATGGACTGTTCATTCGCAGCTAAATCCAGGCAAGCGTCAAAGTGGTCAATAACCAAGTTGTAGAATTTGCCACTGGCTTTTAGGTCTTCCACAACAACAGAGTCAATTTAAGTTTGGCGCTACCAGCTTGCCACTCTGTACGGATATAGTTTTCCTCATTGAATGTCCAAACCCCTTTTTTCTCTCCAGGCCAGCTCCAGTCAGATTTAATCTTAAATTGCTGCTGTAGTGCTAGTTTAGTAAAACTATTTATAATAACTAAAAACTCCAAATCTCCACCCTACAGAACTGCACCAGCTAAAGTTGCTAACACCTCCCGTTATGTCATCTGAAAGACGTTGGTCGCATGCTGTGATTTGATTGGCGTGAAGCCAGACAGCAGCTGGCACACATCCAGCGCATAGCATTTAGAGGGGCGCTGTTTCACTTACTGTAAAATAGTGAGAAATGTGGAAGAGATGACAGCAACAGCTTATAAGATTCATTGAACCCCCCCCCCCCCCCCGATGAAAAGGCAGCCTGCGACCACAAGGACCGTGAGGAGATGGTCGGAAGGAGCCTATGAGACCCTTCAGGGATGTTTTGAGGTAACAGACTGGGATGCACTCTGTGAGCCACAGAGAAGACAGGGATGGGCTACATTATCTTCTGTGTGGACTTCACTGTCCCAACAAAGACTGTTCAGTGTTACTCAGACAACAAATCATGGGTAACAAAGGACATCAAGGACATCCTGAATGCTAATAGGAGGGCTTTCAGTGACCATAATAGGGAGGAGGTGAAGGCCATTCAGGGGGACCTGAAGGTGAAGATCAGGGAGGCTAAGGAGAAGTACAGAAGGAAGCTGGAGCGTGAACTCCAGCAGAACATCACTGGCTTTCAGACCAACTGGCAGCAGAGGAGTTGAAAGCAGCTTGGACAGGGCCAACGAACTTAATCTGTAACAGATTTGACTCAATGGCCAAACTTTGATCTTGTCATTTTGGGGTATTGTTTATAAAATATTGAGGAAAATAATGAATTTCATCCTGCCCATCCCACCACTAACTCAGCTGCTGTCTGCCCTCTAATGCCACTTTAAGACCAACGGCGAAGTTTCGCCTCGCAACGCTTTCCTCGTGTGAGTACATTCGCTGCAGGTGTTCAAACACAACGCAAGAAGGCGATTTTAACGCGATAACGTGAATAAACACAACTCGCCATTACCACAGCTGTATCAGAATAGAGAAGAGCTTTATTGCCAAGTAGTGTTTTACACATACGAGGAATTTGCTGTGGTGATAAGGTGCTACACGTAGACAAACATACAGTCAACATAAATAAGTAGAAATATATAAATATGGAATGGAAGAAAAACGTTGCAGATATATACATGTGCATTATTCTGGGTCTGTACCGTGCAGAAGTAACGCAACGGAAGAGAATAATGTGTACATATAAATATAAACTGACAACATAAAAATATACAACAAAGATCAACAATCAGCAACAAATATGTGCGACGTGCCAGGTCTGTGCCCGACACGATATGAAACAGTATTTACATGTGGGAGAGTCAGTAGGGGGGAGAGTCAGTAGGGGTTAATGAGGCTAGCTGCAGACGCGAAGAAACTGTTTTTGTGGCGAGAGGTTTTGGTCCTGATGGACCGCAGCCTCCTTCCAGAGGGGAGAGTCTGAAACAGTTTGTGTCCGGGGTGGGAGGGGTCAGCTGCAATCTTTCCTGCTCGCCTCAGAGTCCTGGAGGCGTACAGGTCCAAAAGAGAAGGAAGATTGCAACCAATCACCTTCTCTGCAGAGCAAATGATGCGCTGCAGCCTGCCCTTGTCCCTGGCAGTGGCAGCAGCGTACCAGATGGTGATGGAGGAGGTGAGGATGGACTCAATGATGGCGATGTAGAAGTGCACCATCATTGTCTTTGGCAGGCTGAACTTCTTCAGCTGCTGCAGGAAGTACATCTTCTGCTGGGCCTTCTTGGTGAGGGAGGTGATGTTCAGCTCCCACTTGAGGTCCTGGGAGATGATGGTGCCCAGGAAGCGGAAGGAGTCCACAGTGGTGACCACCTGTTGAACGGATTCATCCCCACCTTAGATGAGCCCAGTGAGTGTGGTATCATCCGCAAACTTCAGGAGCTTGACAAACTGGTGACTGGAGGTGCAGCTGTTGGTGTACAGGGAGAAGAGAAGGGGGGAAAGAACGCAACCTTGAGGGGATCCGGTGCTGATGGTCCTGGAATCAGAGACATGTTTTCCCAGCTTCACGTGCTGCTTCCTGTCCGTCAGGAAGTATGTGATCCACCTGCAGGTGGAGTCAGGCACGTTCAGCTGAGAGAGCTTGTCCTGCAGCAGGGCCGGGATGATGGTGCAGCAGCAGAGCTGAAATCGACAAACAGGATCCTGGCGTAGGTTCCTGGGGAGTCAAGGTACCGGAGGATGTAGTGAAGGGCCATGTCTACTGCATCAGCGAAGAGGTGGTGGACTGAGGCTGAAGCTGCGTGGAGGAGTCACGGGGGATGGTGTCCGATTGACTCTCAAAGTGGCAGTAGAACTCGTTCAGCTCATTTGCCAGGCGAGAATAGTTTCTGGAGTGGAGGACTTTGGGTTTATATTTTGTGATCTGTCTGAACCCCCTCCAGACAGAAGTGACAGAAGTTTGCAGAGAACTGGTTCTTTAGTCTCTTGAGTACAGTTGTTTAGCTTCTCGCCCCTCCTTGCTAAACTTGTCCTCACAGAAGCTGATGTAGGACGTCACAGCCTCTGTAAACTCATCCAGATTGTTGGTAGCATTCTTGAAATGCTACAAGTTTACAGAGCTTTAGTTTTTGCCTGTAAGCGGGAATCAGATAGACCATCAGAGTGATCAGAGTGTCCCAGTGGAGCACGCGTGACGGCATGATAGGCACTGCTAACTGGTGTAGCAGTGATCCAAAGTGTTCCCCTCTCTGGTCGGACACGCGAACGACAGCGAGCGAGCCCTTCACCAAAATGTCCAATAATTCCACTGATGGAGCAAGAAAAGTGGGAATTAAATCTGTTGGAGTTGTTCCGCTGATGTTCATGAGCTCCTCCCTGGTGAAAGAGCACCGGGAGTCACAGCCGAAAACTGAATTAACACACCAAAACAAAACAAAGCGCGCCTAACACCGAGGCAGCTATACTCAGCGCCATCTTGGTATGAACCCAAAGTAAACATTTTGCTGTGATTAAATAGCAATAAACGGATCAAACTGATGCCGAAATAACTACAATATGATGCAGATTTGTTAAACATATGAATTCATGCTTTGTCAGGTCTGTCAGCAAGACAGCAGGACATCAACTTCAAAAATGTTTGTTTTTCTGAATGGAGTTTGATCAGGGCTATGCTATGCTAATTTGGTCCCAGTAATGTACAACGATAGCTGGAATAAAGTTACATGGTTGGATAAATACAACATATACACAGTTCATTTCAAGTAATTTATTTTAGCTTATGGGATTTACCCAAGGTCATTCAAATGTTTGTATGTTTTATTCACCTGTTCTCATCCTCAAGCAGGGATCTGGGCCGAAGGGGCAAACAGGAAGTGGAGTGTGGAGTCATTTATAGGGGGAAGACCTGGAATGGTCCAAGTGTGAGCCTGTACACAGGGGTGTTACGGGAGTACCTTAAAGTTGCTGTTTTGAGAAGCTTTTGTTTAGCCTGTAACATTTCATTTCTGGTTTTATAGTTGATGTGTTGATGTAGCCAGAGATGTGTTTGATTGTTGAGATAACATACTGGTGTTTAATTGATTGTCAATTAACTTTGGTTTGTCTTGTAGGAGGGGCTTCTGGTATAAAGGAAGGAGGCAGAGGCTCCCCTGGGGAGAACAGCTTGGCGTGGACAGCTTGGCTGGAGCCCAATAGTCAGGGCTGATATAGGTTTTGTTTTTGTGTTGTGTAATCTCAGTTTTTAATGATAATTTGAATAGTATATACTTAGTTTCCTCATTGTTTGTTTTTTGTTAATTTTTGATATATTTTTACAATACTTCACTTGCACAACTGCACTTTCCACGTATCTGGTGTAAAAATAAATTGAAGCACCAGGTGAAGAACTCTATGTCCATGTCTCCTCCTTCCACCATGGGGCTAAACCTTACACACATGTTTTCTGAACTCACCACGTAGTTCAACCTCCTCGCTTTCTTTTCTCCCAGCAATGTCCAGTTTTGTCCGGGTTTTATATAAATATGAAGTAGTGCCAAACAACGCTAACAACACTGGAACCGGATGTGCACGGAATGTAGCTGCTGAGAAGCTCGAGTGAAGATAAATGTTGTAATCATAAAAACTAAAGTAAAAAGCTAATTTCATAAAAGCAGTTTACTCCGAGGTCCTCCCTCGAGCAAACGGCGTAGTTGTCAGAGGAAAATCCAGTCCGACCACGGGGGTTTATTTGTCCAAAACCTGGAGCGCTGCTCCCTGCTCCTCTAGCCCAAGTTTAGCAACTCTCAGCCGGCCTGCAGATCGCCCGCTCTGCCTGGCCCTCTCCACACAATGCTCTGAAGCTGTCTGTGACAAAAACACAATCTCAACATTGATAGGCTATCACGACTTCGCGACACCGGCACCGCCCCCTTCGCGACAGGAAATCACAGCTCTGTGTCTTTGCATTGACTTTGTATGTAAACTCACCGCCCCGAACGCTCGCTTCGCTTTTGGTCTGAAAGCACCATACCACCAACCCCACTACTCCCCCCTCCTCCTCCTCACTGTCCCTCACCCTCCTGGGAGAACCCTACCCCCTACTCCTCCGGCTCTCAGGTTAACAGCTCTCTCCAGCCTGACGACTCCTCCTCTCCCCACCTGTAACCTCTATGTGCCTCACTGCTGACCAGGCAAGAAGACAGCTGAGGAGGCTCAACCCTGTGCTCCCCAGCTATGTGTAGTCCTTGACCTTGTCTTCAACCTGAGCCTGAGTCTCCAAAGAGTTCCTTTGATGTGGAAGACATCTTGCCTCGTTCCTGTTCCAAAGATGCCACATCCCAGTGACTCCATGGACCACAGACCTGTGGCACTGATCTCCCACATTATGAAGACCCTGCAGCCCATATTCAGACCTCATCAATAATATTAATGAGCCTGTTCCAGAAGCAGCCATGCACGCCCAAGCCATGACATTACCTCCACCATGCTTCACAGATGAGCTTGGATGCTTCGGAGCATAAGCTTATTTTTCCCCTATTCATAGTTTTCGCGTGACGTCACACTCCAAGGAAAATGCTCCCTTTGAGAGCAAAAAAGACGTTATTCTCAGCTGCCTGCCAACCAATAAGCAATGATACACTGTTACTTTGAGTTTGTTACTTTTTGCGTTGCCAAAATGCTGGATAGTTGTGCTTTCAGATTTACTAATCAAGGAGGAGACAAGCCTGGGCTGTGTTAGGTGAGGGATTCCCCACAAGGTAAACCTAAACATACCGCTGTTGAGTGGCGGCAGGGACCTGGCGGTTTTTAACGGTAGAAATGCGGCAGCAGATGCTGTAACGTTATATGGACATCCCAAACACTTTGCAGTTTGTGTTCATCTCTTTCTTTTTCTTAAGTTGAAGGTGATCCAAATAAAATTTGATTGCTTTTGCGGTGTCTCTGTGGGGGAGTCGCGGTCGTTAGTGTGTTGTTTGCCCTCCAGGTCACTGCGCATGTCACATGACTGAAAACTATAAAATGTCTTTAAAATGACATTAGTAGCAGACATTCCGCCTCATTTTGCTTCTCCCTCTGTATTTGTCTTAGAGTCCTATGCAGTCCATGACCTCCATGAGCGTTTGGCCCATGGTCGCCAGTTGAAGATCTTCCTGTCCAAGAGTGCAGAGAAGCTTGAGTTCACTCCATCTGATAATCCCAGCAATACCTTTCTGTACTGGGAGAAAGGCACATTCAGGTCAGAAACTCTCTGGGACAGCAAAAATTCTGGTTGTGGACAGGATAGACAAGGAGAGAAGCTGTGAGTTTTTCCCAGAGTTGTTGCACTCAATGTATTTCCATATGGCTGTTGTTCTGTCTTCTACAGAATGACAAAAGGCAGGATATCTGGCACAGGCAGTGACCGACGCTGGTACATCGACAAGGTAGCCAAGTCTCTTGTTTCAAGTCAACATTTTTAGAGCTCAGTTTACAGTGAGGCCAGATAATCTAGATATTCACTGTGTATTTATGTGGTCTGTTTGTCTTGTCAGGTGACTTATGAGGACCAGGGAACATACATCCAGAGAGACTTCTGGAATAACGAGATCTCCACTGTCAAAGTGGCTGTCACACGTGAGTGACGGTTGGATTAGCCATGGTTTATTTAGCAAGAACCATGTGAGGTCCCTGTTGAAACTGAAGGGACAATGTATTTATTATTTCTTTCTTTCTTTTCTGGAAAAAAAAAAAAACCTCACCAAAATTTGCACATAATTCAGGTGGGGCGAACTAGAGCCATCTACAGAGCAACCCCTGGGCGAAGTTTCACCTACTTTTTGATTTGGTTTTTTTTGGATTTAATGGGCATTTTTGCGATTTACACACTTTGTACTTTACTTTTGTACGATTTAAAAGTTGTTGTAACTTCATTATACATGCTCACATCTGCACCAAACAGTCCGACATGCCAATATTCAGTTATCGTCGTAGTGCCAAGTACTATGTAGTGCCACAAAGGGGGCACAGGAAGTGATGATTGAAAGCGCGTGGCAAATTCACAGCCGTACCAGCAGAGCTCCAGAATCTGCAACACGGCCGCCTCACAAAACTCGATGCGCTATAGGTGCGAGGCCCCGCCCAATGCTGCTTGCAGCTTTAATAATAATTACATATATAATAATATGTATGTATGTATGTATGTGTATATATGTATATGTATATAGTGTATGTATATATGTATATAAAACACAAAGTTCATTTCACTCTCACAAACAACTTTATCTCATTATATCAACACAAGACAGTAATATTGATAATGGTAATATTCTTAGACCTACTTCTCTTTTCCTCTGTCTAACACCAGGTGAGGGGAGCAGCAAACACAATATTCACACAGAAATACAGACAGTAAAAGTAGTAGTGGTACAAAAAATTAGTATTATTATAATAATTGAAGCAGTGGGTGTCGAGCAGGAACATGGGGGCAGCAAGAAGCAAAAGGAGAGGGATGAGAAAGCACAAAACTACGTGGGTAGGGAAGCAGTCGAGTTAGTAACATGCATTAATAGTTACTTTTTGCTTTGTTTCTTTATCTGCTCTGTAAAGCGACTTTGAGTTCGTGAAAAGTGCTATACAAATTCAATTTATTATTATTATTAATGGGATAAGAATGCATACAGATGGAGAAAGAGAATACACTAATTATATGGTGTGTGTGTGTGTGTGTGTAGCACACAACATTCGTTGAACTACGAATTTAATTTCATAATGCTGCCTTGTGCTGTATAATGACTACCTTGTACCTTGAGTATTTCGTGGCCACGAGGTAGTATCTCGTTCCCATGTTTTGATTAGAATTTTAGTTTTTCATTCAGTGATCCTTGGGGGATGCTCTATAGATACCAGATAGATGTGTTACAGTTAAAAGAACAAAAGAAGTTCAAGCAGTTTGATAGGAAAAACCCCTACGAATTATCTTTAACTACTGTTTATGCAGTATTTTGTGGGAAGTCTGTGCATCATATGATAATGACCGTAAAATTTTTAAAATAGGTGTCGGATTCCCTGTCTGCCCTCTCCCATATAACATGCTGCAGACATTGTTAGAATACAAAGAATTAACTATTAAAAGGGACACACACCATGATGAAAGATGATGGAGAATCCCGATGATAGAGAAGTTAGAACTACATTATTAAAATAGTCTTAGGCTGTAGCTTAGGAGCTTAGTCTGTCTACATCATCATTTACTAATATCACGCTTTCTTCAGATGTTTTTGTCTTTAACTTTTAACTAAACGTTGGCAGGGTCTCTGTTAATTCCCCATGTTCTCCACCTCCTCCCCTGCCCACCATTTATGGTACAGGTCACACATACGCTCTCCTCGCAGTTAAGGGCTGACTCACAAAATTTTCCTATAGCTGATAATACTGATAAAACTGTTTTGTCTTTTAATAGCTTACTGCTAATGTGCATTGTTTCTCGACATTGTTTGCACTATGAGGATGATGTAGGGATTCTCAGTATTAAACAGTATTTTAGATTCTAAATGAAGAGAAAATAAACAACCACGATATGATAAGAAATAAATAGCTATACTTTTGTGCACACCATCTGCTCATTTAAGTCAGTAAAACTTCGACCTGTGAAATTTAGGGAGGCAGGCTACTACAGACAAGTTAGTAGCCTATTCAAACATTTTGAAATAAAACACACACCAGAAAAGACAAAATAATGTTAGAATGTGCTACATAGCATAATTTGTTTGACCCATCTTTGGTGATGCTCCATGGAACCACCAGAAAGCAGTAAAAATAGCCTAAGAAGTTGTGTCGGATTTAATAAAAACATCCAGTTTGTGAAACCTCAGCCTCATTCCGATGTACAAAAGCTTACTAGACTAACCATTTTGTCTAGCTACTGTACATGTGTGAAATTTTAAATAGTTAAGAATCATATTTACTATATTGATATCTAAAATTATTTTTGAATATTTTGTGCTATGACAGTTGACAGGTTGCGGTAATGTCCTACTCGCTCACCTCCTGCTGCAGTAAGAACACAAGATACAACAAAGATTTGAATGACTTGTTTTTAGTCTTGATTTACCCCCACAAATTAGATCCATGATAACCGAGAAAGACAAGACCCTACTTCCTGATATGCAGTTTCCTGCCTAACAGCTGAGACAGTGCCCCCAACGTCATGTCCTACTCACTGTTCCCCTACACAGATTCAAGTAGTGAATAAATACTAAATAAAAGCCAGTTGCACTGTTGTTATGAGAGCTTGACAGTCCGGGGAGCAGGTGTGCCACAGGACCGTGGGAATTGATATTGTGGTTTGGGTCTCAGTTTCAGAACCGTTATAGCCCTACTAAAATCAAATTATTTAAATAGCATTTGTATAGGAGTGATTCTGTCCTGAGTTTTTTGACCACTATAAGGGGTTTCTTGTGTAACTTCATATGATGACTTGACTTTCTTTCTCCGTTTCCTCCTCACTATTCCAGCCAGATATAACTATGTCAAGTGTGTAGCAGGAGAGAGTCTCTACATCTCACTGGAGGGCATTGACCTGGCTGATGCTGTCCTCTCCTTCTCAGGGGAGGCTGCCAACGTTACACTGGTGAGCTGGATAGATGGATGAATAGATGATGGATGGAAGAATGGTTTGGATAAAAATCAGCAGAGGGATAGAGGGATTCAGTATTTGGGAATGGCTTATTAAAGGCACAGAAGTAGGAGGTTACATTTTTCCCAATACCTGTGTTTTCATCTTTCAGTATTTTTGTACTTGAATATCACAAATGTTAGTATTTATGTATTTGTACATATCTAGAATAGCTGAGTGGGATGGGGATTTTTTCTTTGCTGCAAAAAGTGGAATTAATGTGTCAGACCAAAATGGAAATGCATTTGTAAAATAATGATGCTTAGTCATCTGTTGTGGGTGTCAAAGTTGAGGTGACCACAAGGAATGATAATTCCCCAAACACGAATTACTTCTCAAAGGTTTTGCAGTTGGACGCCTGATGGATGCAATTTTGTTTTTTAAAAGCTTGTGAGAAATTCCCTGTGATTCAGATGGAAATGCAGCTTGTGGTCCTAACTGATGCTCTGACAGCAGTTTGTGTCCCTCAGGTGCGTGATGGTGCTCGGGTATCCCAGGACCTTCCGGATTACTGGAACCGGATTCAGACCCACTCCTTGAACATTGAGATCAGGAATGTCAACTACAGTGATGAGGGACATTACACCCTGAGAGACCGCAGAGACAGGGTAGCGTCTGTTACCAGAATGGACCTGACAGGTGGGTCCCCATATAACCCACCCACACACTTAACCCACGAGACGAGATGAGATTCAAGATTGTATTATATTATTATATTTACACTATTTTTAAAGAGGTGGTATTGTGCTTTTTGGCTTTCCCCCTCTCCTTTATTGACTTATATCTGTTTTTGGTGCATGTAACAAGTCCACCCAAAGGGAGTTCTCATCTCCTACAGAAAGCTCTGATCTGAACTGCTCGAACAGCTTGTTTTTAGGCCAGCCATTTCCCTTCCTTCCCTGTGACGTCACAATGAAAACGCGTCATAAACTTGCCAAGCGGCTAGCTGGGTCAGGCACGCCCTCAAACCAACCAATCAGATGCCAGCAAACAGCAACCAGGAAGAGGGTGGTTCCAGGTCCAGGGGAACCAATCCTCAACAGGTGCTTGCAGCGGGGATTTGCATACAGTTCAGAGAACTCCAAAACACAACTACTCTAAGGCAGCCAGCGGCGGCCGTAACACTCCCCCCCCCCCTTAAATTACAAGCCCCCGTGGGTTGGCAATAAAGCTGCTAAACACTTAGCTAATCTCTACAGTCTCGACAAAGCATCAGCTAGCACATTTTCAGACCCCTTCTTATGTCGGATGTCGAGGTTGAAGTCCTGAACCACCAGTGCCCATCGCATGAGTCGCTGGTTGTGGTTAAACATGCGAGACAGAAAAACAAGGGGATTATGATCAGTGAACACAACAACAGGCAGAGGAGTAGACCCAACATAGACCTCAAAGTGCTGTAGTGCTAACAACAGAGCAAGGGCTTCCTTTTCAATGGTGGAATAATTTATCTGGTGTCGGTTGAACTTGCGGGAAAAGTAAGCAACAGGATGGTCAATATCATCCTCCCCTTCCTGTAACAGGACAGCACCAGCGCCCACTGCACTGGCGTCTACCTCAAGCTTGAAGGGAGCGGTAAAGTCAGGGGCAGCGAGCACAAAGAGTGTGACATAACAAGGTCTTTACACTATCAAATGCTACCTGGCATTCTGGGGTCCATACGTAATCCACCTTGGTGCTGAGTAAACTTGTGATTGGGGAGGCGATACTGGAGAAGTTGCGGCAGTACCTCCTATAGTATCCAGCCATCCCCAGAAACTGGTGCAGGGCTTTACGGGTCGTGGGAAGAGGGCAGTCCCTGATGGCAACAACCTTGGCCTCAACAGGGCGCACTTGTCCCTGCACAACCTGCTGTCCAAGATAGGTGACAGTGGCTTTTCCAAATTCGCATTTGGCCAAATTTAGAGTCAGGTTAGCGCAGGCCAGGTGGTCAAAAACCTGCTCTAATACGCACATGTGCTTCTCCCAGGTGTCTGCATAAACGATTAAGTCATCATGGTACGCATTGCAGTTTGGCAAACCAGATAATACAATGTTAACTAACCTCTGGAATGTTGCAGGCGCGTTACACATTCCAAACGCCAACACATTGTATTGACAGAAATGATCGGGAGTGACGAATGCGGAGATTTCTCTGGCACGGTCCGTTAAAGATACCTGCCAATAACCTTTCAGCAAGTCTAACTTGCTAACAAATTTTGCGGTGCCCAGGTTATCAATACAATCCTCCATGCGCTGGAGCGGGTATGAGTCTTTGACAGTAACCGCATTTACTTTGCGGAAATCTGTGTTGAACCGAGGGGAGCCATCGGATTTAGCTTCTAGTAAGCACGGAGAACTCCACGGACTGGAACTAGTGGAAGCTAGCCCATTTTGCAAGAGGTTCTCTACCTCCTGTTTCATCAAGTGACGTTTAGTTTGATTGGCACGGTAAGCATGTTGTTTTATAGGGCGCGCATCTTTTACCTCTGTCATGTTGTAAAACAGACGTGAAGGTTGGAATATCACCAAATAGACAATGGTACCGGCCGATGAGGCCTTCAAGATCATGTTGCTGTTCAGTAGTTAAATGCTGCAAATGACATGGCAGGTGTGCAAGCATTTCTGAATTTGGGAGGCGGACAGGCGGATGTAAAGAGACGCGCATTTGTGGATCATCTCCGTGGAGAGTGCCCACAGGCTCTGTCACAATGATGGCAGCGGTTTTGGCTTCTGATGGGTTTGCTGCCGAGGGCCCATCAGGGCTAACCTTGTCCTCGCAGGACTGGTAGCCTTTTAACAGGTTTATGTGACAGACTCTAGTTTTGCGCCTTCTGTCCGGGGTACAGAGTACATAATCAGTGTCACTAAGACGCTCCTTAATGACATACGGACCGGAGAATTTAGCTGTGAAGACTGAGCTGGTGGTGGGCAGTAGCACCAAAACTTTATCTCCCACCTCAAACCTGCGGGATGTGGCAGCACGATCATAATAGCGCTTCATAGCTGATTGAGAATCACGGAGGGTGGCTCTAGCGAGGGTGTTGACTCGTTGCAGACACTCCTGGAACTGAGTAACGTAGTCTAACGCATGCTTTTTGGGCAAAGACTCACATGACAGGAACTGGTCATGCTGCGACTTAAGTGGCCCACGGGGTGTGTGGCCAAAAACAAGCTGTGCAGGACTAAAGCCAATAGACTCCTGCATAGCATCACGAGCCGCAAATAGGACAAAGGGAACTCCCTCGTCCCACTGTTTCTCTGTCTCCACACAGTATTTTCTGAGCATCGACTTTAGCGTCTGATGCCAGCGTTCTAAAGCTCCTTGCGACTGGGGGTGATACGCCGAGGACACAATGTGATGCACACTCAAACTCTTGAGTACCTGTCTGAAGAGACCAGACTTAAAATTAGAGCCCTGGTCGGTCTGGATCACCCGCAGCAATCCAAAAGTAGAGAAGAACTTTAGTAAAACTTTTATTATGGCAGTAGCGGTTATCGACCGGAGCGGAATAGCCTCTGGGTAACGAGTGGCGGCGCACATAATAGTCAATAAATACTGATTACCACTTTTAGTTCGAGGTAGAGGGCCAACACAGTCAATAATCACCCGCTCAAAGGGCTCTGCTATCACAGGAATGGGATTTAAAGGCGCGGGGGGACAGTCTGATTAGGTTTCCCGACAACCTGACACACATGGCACGCACGGCAGTGTTTAGCAACATCAGACTTTAGACCTGGCCAATAGAAATGACGGAGGATGGCTTGGTATGTTTTGGTTATGCCCAAATGTCCTGCCCACTTACTCTCATGAGCCACTGACAACACCTGTTGGCGGCACCCGGCAGGAACAACTATCTGATAAACAGAGTCACAGTCAGAATCACCAGTTACGAAGGAAGACCATTTACGTAACAGCATCTCACCATCCATAACATAGGCTACTTTCTCACCCCTTGCTTTGTCATTACTCACCACCTTGGAAAAGCACCCTTTTAGGGTCGGGTCTGCTTTCTGCATCTGGCTCAAGCGCGCTCGGTTGACTGGAAATGCCGCTTCTCCAGCGTACGGCAGTTCCGGGCCAGCCGGGGGCCTTTGATTAGCAGACTCGTCCTGGGTTGGTAATACGGAGCTCTCAACCTCTTTCTCGCTTTCTGTGTCACATGAAAAAAGTGACAGGAACAAACTGTCACGCAATGATGCTTCATAGTCATCGGGGCTAATGTCATGGGAGCGTGCGCAAGTTACAGCGCATGCAGGAAACATTCGGGGGGGTCTGATCTGAGGTCTGGATCCCATCACACTGATGGCGATCCAGAACTTCTAATGTGGGAGTTACCTTACCTCCCACAATATCGTTCCCCATCAGGAGCATGATACCGGGGATCGGCAGTTCAGCACAAACTGCTACTGGGAAGAAACCAGTAGCCAGGGAGACTGAATATGGACGCGGTGCACTGGCGTGGCACGTAACCCATCTCAACTCTCCTAAGGACAGAACTGTAGTGACAGGCAGAGCTATCAGAGAAAGGCAAAACTGAAGAAAGGATTACAGATTGCGAACATGCAGTATCTCTCAAAGCACATATTGGGCGTTTATCAGCTGACTCTCCAGTCAGTGACACAAAGACATCAAACATGAATGGCTTAAAACAGTCATCAATTTTCTGGTCAGACAAGTAAGTGTTCACACCACGATCTGCTTTAATCAGTCCTACCACTTTTGGTTGGACAGAGCGTGAGGACTGCTCTCTGCGTTTTAGTGTCAAGCAATTTGCAATGACATGGCCAACTTGGTGACAGTAATAGCACTCCCGTTCCTCTTTAAGCCCACGTGGTTTTGATGGTCTAGGAGGAGAAGGGAGATGCGAAACAGCAGAGACTTGAGGAAAAACAGACTTATGAGTTAACACATACTCATCTGCCAGTACAGCAGCAGCAGAAAGTGTGCTCACTTTCTGTTCATTCAAGTATACAACAATACGCTCAGATAAACAGTTCTTGAAATCCTCTAGCAGGATCAGTTCTCTCAAGGCATTGACGTCATTTACCTTACATATTGTGCACCATTTATCAAATAGAGTTCCCTTCTCACGGGCAAACTCAACATAGGTCTGAGTAGAGGTTTTCTTGTGATCTCGAAATTTCTGTCGGTTATTGGTTGTGAATTATATTTAAAATAAACATGGCAATGTAACTTCACAGACTGTTCAAGTGCGGAGTTGTTTTGTAAACGTTGGCTAACACAGCTTAAGTTATAGCTATAATGCTAATGTTACACCCGATGTGAAAGCTACTGAGCAAACGTTCAAATTGTTTGGCCAGTTTTTATGTAAAATTTAGTTGAAATATGGTGATTTTTGTAGTGGTTTATGGTAGGTGTGGAACAATGATGTTCTGTGGTTGTGGACTTGAGTAACTTATACCATCTGCTCGGTTACGTTCGCAGTCTGAAGCGGCTTTGATTTGTATAAGTAAGATGAATCACTCTGTAGTCATGGTGTTTTTTGAAAATTTAAACCATGTAAACCTGTTCTGGTACAACCCCTAATTAAGATTTTGAACCTGAAAATGAGCATAATACCGCCTCTTTAAGAAATCTTTAGTGCTGAATTATAAGAAAAGTTTAACCATTGGTTGTTGGTTCGAACCCCGGTTGTCCC